TATTCTAAATTTTTCACTTTTATTTGTTTTCATCTTAATCTTTACTCAGACCATCAATCAATCCATCTTTTGTTTGATGTGTACAAAGATTTCTAGCTTTTATTTTTTTTTTAAATGTTTTTTTTTTACTGTGTAATCACTCTAGATTAAAAAAAGAGTATTAACTTTTGCACAGATTTATTACTTTAGTAATCTGACCTTAAGCTTTGGCCAATGTAACTGCTAATATGTTAATGAAACAATTCCATTGCAAAATCTGTAAATTACATTTTTTTCAAGTCCCATTTGCTTATAGAATTAGGTGTTCTTCCAACAGTAGAATTTCCAAGAATCACATTAAAAGTTCAAATCTTGGTAAAATGGCTTTTGTTTCTGTTTTAATGCCCCCCTCTCGTTCTTTCTCTTAATAAACTGGGCCTTAGTCAAGAATATCAATTAGTAGACTCTATAGCAGAAGTTGATGATCAGATCAATCTATGTTATATATCTTAAGATATTAGTAAAGTTTTATAATTGTGAAAATCCTCTACACTTAGGCCATATGACAAAATAACATATGACATGACTCAATTTCAAATTGTATTCAGATTGTGAACAGTACACTTTTTCATTGGAAACTTTTGTACAAGTCACAAATACCCAATGGTCATTAAATCTAAACACACATGAGAAACAAAAATAAGCACTTTGGCCTTCAAACGTAAGAGTTTTTATACATACCCAAGACGCTCACCATTGATCAGGTCAAAATTTACATTTCTTCTCTATTTCTAGATACACAGATTGTTTTTAAAAATCATTTTAAGCAGTGAATACATGTAACCCATGTTTTTTTTTTTTTTTATTGTTTGATGAATACAGTGACTACTTTTATGGCTACAGATCTGATCCAAAATTTAGTAACAAATTTCTTTTGATGTAATGAAGTCATTAATTCAAATGTCTCATTAATGATGAAAAGTTCCCTTTCAGGGTCCCTAATTATTGATAAAACAAACCTGTGAATATAAAAAGATTTACATTGACAAACTAAATCCCAAAGAACTTTGAAACTTTATTCAGAATGTTTACATTGATACTCTTGAAGATTTATCTAAAATAGTATGAGGCACTCAAGAACAAGAATTGCCAATTTTATTTGAAAACTAGATTACTCATACTTAAAAAAAATGATTAGAATTTTAAATCTATTTTGCAAATTATTATTTTACCCAGCTGACAGTTAACATTGTAAATATTTTGGATCAGTCTGACATTGTCATTAGACAGATTCTGCCACCCATCATCACTAGAGTAAAAGGGAGAGGAGTGCTGTGTGCAATTACCAGTGCAAGGGAGTAATTATGAAAGCAGATTGTTACAAATATTTCAGATAAAAAAAGAAACACATGTTTATTTGATTAGTTTGAATTTGCCTTTTTGTAAACACATGACAAAGTCTTTGTCATTCAAACTGAACTCTATACTCAATAATGTACTATCATTGCCGGAGATCATTTTATCACTTGTTGTACAAAAAAAAAAAAAATCCTTTTTTTTCAATATTTGTTTAAATAAATCAATTAAAAGCTTAAAATTTTCACTTGTTTGTTGATAAACTATATTTTCTAATTAAATGTAAATGTTTCACAAATATATTTTGATTAAAGTAATGGTATTTTTTTTTTTTTTAACCCTTTTGTATCGAGTCTTAAGATTTTTGACCAGGGCTGTATGAATACAGTATGTAGATATGAATCAACACTGAATGATGTCTGTCAGTTTTATACTTCAATGCAATCTTCAGATTTGGTCTGAAGATCATACTGAAATGTGAAACTGCCAGTCACTATTCATGTTCATTCCTATGTCCACACTCTCTATATCTATAAAAGCTGTGCCTCTGATACTATTCTCTTATAAACATAGCAAACCTTAAATTAATATAAATGAATGGGCATGGAAGTTAACACTGGGTGGTATGACACAGACTGTCACTACTTAGTATTGACTTCAGTGTCCATTCCTATATTTACACATGCTCTATCCCATATATGAAGCACTTTTACCCATAAATATAGCATGCCTTAAAACTAGCTAAATATATATATATATATATATATATATATATATATATATATATATATATATATATATAGTGGACATTGTAGTAGACAGTCTGTTTCATGCTTAAATGCAATCTTAAAACTATTTTGTTCAGCATGAAATGACTGTCACCTCTGGATGTTAACTTCAATGTCCACTTTTATATTTATTATACACTTTATTCCTGATATTGACCACTTTAACCCATAAATATGGTATACTTTAAACTATATTTATCATATATATATATATATATATATATATATATATATTATAAATTAATTGATTTAAAATTTATTTTTATCTTCAAGTTTCCAAAAGGAAAATTTGCTGAAGATGAAAATAGAACTAAAAACTTTTTAATTTATTTGCAAAAAAATAAAATTAGGGTTTTAGCTTCTATTTTTGAAACATGGTTGAACTGTGTAGCGAAAAAATAACCATATTTTAAATCAATTAATTTATAATATTAATGCTCTGTAAATTTACATTGAGCACTATTTTGTAAAAATAAAATATCTATAAGAACACCGGATTTATATCTTACTGTTCTTTTTTTTTTATTTATATACATATATATATATATATATATATATATTTGTATATATATAAATTCACACACAATTGATTAATCAAATTTCAAAATCTTTCCAATCCTTAATCCAGTGAATATTTTTAATTTTTTTTTCAATAATTCCATTTCATCCCTTTAGCAGGTATTTTTCCATGAAAAACATGACCTTGTGAAAAATGGTGAAATGACCCTTTGAATTAAGAAGTCATTTACAAAATATTTGCTTCATTCATTCAGACAAAAGTTCAATTTTTATTACAAAGGTTAAAGTCAATATCTTATCGACACCATTTTTCTTATTTCCCTTACAGACAAAAAGTAATACAGAAACAATATTTACAATTGGACTTCTTCTTTTTTTTTTTTTATATAACATTTTTCATTTAATCACACCAATACCCAAAAAGGATTTCTTACAAATAACTGACATCTAAATTAGCTAAGGCATCTTTGTACAGTGGTGTATGAAAAACATTTGTTTATAAAACTATATTTGCACAGTGCATGTGAGATATTTAATAGACACATTTAACTTACACAATGACATTTCAGTTTCTTTTTAAAAACAAAAATAATTTCACACACATACATATATATATATATATATATATATATATATACACACACACACACAGACAAATGTACAGATTGTACTTAGACACAAGAAAAAAGTGTTTCATATTGTTATATAAGCTTGTCTTTCTCATGCTGTCATTTTTGTAAATTCTTCCTATGGCACATTCCACTCAGCCAACTTCAGTTCTCAACAGAAAATGAGAACCATTCTCTAACAGCTTGACATTTCCTGGGAAAATTGTAGATAGAGCCATTAACTGAAACCCTCAATCATGCTTTGGCTGTGGGAGCCATTCCAAGAATGTTTGTCTTTTATATGGATTTCAGGAATGTTAACATTTTGTGGACCCAACAACAAGAGAAATAAGTCATCACCTCCCTACTTTTTTTTTATTCAGTTAATTTTGAGATTTAATTTAGTGTTCACTCTTTCAACATCTGTCTGATTTTTATTTCAGTTATAAGCTAAGTTTTATGTTGGCATTTTATCAGCTTTTATAAAAAACATTATATAAATAACAATTATAATTGCTATTTAAAAAAGATAACTCACCATATTGATGTATCAAAATGTGATAATGCCAGAATGTTAGCTAAAAATTAAAGCAATTAAAATAACAAAAAGTCTCTGAATTTTCTGGATAAACTTGGATAAGAGATGTTTCAATTTGTTGTTGATTTTCTAATATTAGAGTGTCTAAGTTTGTAAATGTAAAATTATGCCAGACTAGGCTTTGCACTCAATTTTACACCTATCAAGGAAACTATATGTAAGGTTAACTTAAGATACCCCCCCACCACCAAATCTTGGACAATGGATATATAAACAACTGCTCCAGAGAGGAGTTGGGTAGGCTCTCATACATTGCATTCAAGAATGTAAGGTTTCACATATCAGATAAGGGGACCCGTGGGCCACCCACACACTCTGGTCATGAGTAATTGACAAAGTATTAGAATTAATAAAGTGTAAAGTTAAACACAAAAGATTTAGTCAGATGTGGTATCATTAAACAACACACCCATTTTATTACATAAGGGAAGAACGTTTTAACTTGCATCTATAAAAACCCATTGTCAACCCATCACCTGCAAAAGTTAACAATCCCCAAATAAAACAGGTATGTTCAAGTAGAGAAAATTTGATAACATTTTGCAAAGGTAATGTTAGGCCATATTTGTGTCAGGTATTGATTTGTGTCAGGTATTGATGTCATCTGGTGAGGAAACTTTCTCCGTTTGATTAGTCACTATCTTATTAGTAATAGTCAACCAACCTTCCTATAGCTACTGAACCACTGTCTGTTTGTCATTATTTCAATAGTTATGATGACTAGTGACCTTGACAACTGTTCACTACTAGTACTATTAAAAGTATGTAAACAAGAAAATGATTTCCAATGCACTGAAATAGAATTGTTTAATAATTTTTCAGGAATTAAATACACAGATATAAATAAACAATTGTTTTCCATTTAAAAAACATTTACAATGAAATCATTTCATTTAATTAAATTATGACAAAAACTGGTTTAAAAAATCATTAAGTAAACTGATCTTTATTTATTCATTAACTATAAATGTAGCCTTCAGGCACATCAAAACTTATAAGAGTCATTAGTCCCCAATATGAATTGAAGAAATTACTAACAGTAGTAATCTCTTAAAAATTTTTTTTTTTTTTTTTTTTTGACTAGTGATTAAAAAAATATTTTGGAAAAAAAATCAAGAAACTTAAATGTAAAATGTTGAATTCTAATTAATCTTAACTTATTATTTTGTTTGAGTAAAGTACCTGCTGCAACAACTTATAAATACTCTGTCACGTGATCTTTAAAAGGTTTCACATGATCTTTAAAAAGTTTGTAAACATTGAATTTTTTTTTCTAATTTTGCCATTCTGTTAAAATAAAACCCAAAATAAAATTGTCTTACTGAGACAACATCTCTGAATCGTCCAATATATTTATATTTTCATTCATTGTAATTGAACTACTGACTAACATGATTTTATTCAAGACATCTTCAAAATAGTAAACATTTCACCTTTATATAGAAAGTTTCATTGTTAAATATTTCATGATATTTAAAGTGCTTGTATTTTTCTCTGTTCTTAAAACTATCAAAAAATTTTAGACGAGTTTACTTGCACTGGTTTCTATTTTTAAAGTTTTCAGTTTCTGATTGTCAATTTATAGCATAATTAATTTTTTTTATAGAAAGAGGAGACAAAAATGAATAAGTGATAAAAATAAAAGTAAAAAAGAAAAAGATAGGAAAGTAAAGAAGAAAAAAAGAAAAAGATAGGAAAGTAAAGAAGAAAAAAAGAAAAAGATAGGAAAGTAAAGAAGAAAAAAAGAAAAAGATAGGAAAGTAAAGAAGAAAAAAAGAAAAAGATAGGAAAGAAAAAAGAAAAAAGAAAAGATAGGAAAGTAAAAAAGAAAAAAGAAGATAGGAAAGTAAAAAAGAAAAAAGAAGATAGGAAAGTAAAAAAGAAAAAAGAAGATAGGAAAGTAAAAAAGAAAAAGATAGGAAAGAAAAAAAGAAAAAGATAGGAAAGTAAAAAAGAAAAAAGAAAAAGATAGGAAAGTAAAAAAGAAAAAAAGAAAAAGATAGGAAAGTAAAAAAGAAAAAGATAGGAAAGTAAAAAAGAAAAAGATAGGAAATTAAAAAAGAAAAAGATAGGAAAGTAAAAAAGAAAAAGATAGGAAAGTAAAAAAGAAAAAGATAGGAAAGTAAAAAAGAAAAAAAGAAAAAGATAGGAAAGTAAAAAAGAAAAAAAGAAGATAGGAAAGTAAGTTATGATGGAAGAAAGAAAATAAGGAATAACAAAGGAAGAAGTAGACAAAGTTCTGGCAAAATCAAGGAAAAGAAAAGAAAGAAAGAAGGAAAAAAATAAAAGAATGACAAGGAAAAAAACTAAGATACTTAAAACAAAAGTAATACATGTAGGCAGGAGGGGGTGAGAAGAAATAGCAGTTGTTATGAAAACATGAAATGTGAGAATATAAAAATGAATGGAGAAAACAACTGTGTTAACTCAATCCTTCAATATTTCATCATGCAATGTTTTGATTGGTTGTTAAGAAAGAAGATTGTGAGGCAAGTGCACCAAAGAATCTGAAAACATTGCCATAGTCTGTAATGGATTTAAAAAAAAAAACAGAAAAATCAGTGTGGCATGTCAGAAAATTAGGGAATTAGAAAACCAAAGGCAAAAGAATTAAAAAAAAAAAAAAAACCCAAAAAAACAAAACTGAAACCCATTATTGGGGTTTCACATCATGAACATCCTGTTGGAAGCTGGGTGGAGATGATGTTTGTCAGATTAATGTTTGGGAAAAGTGTGACCCTGAATAAATTTTCTTAAATTCTTATCTCTGATTGGCTGTTTCTTGCCAAAATTTGATTGCAATGTCTTTTTCTCTTTTGTCTCTTTCTCTTCTCCCTTTCCCTCAATCTCTCCACTTTTCTTCTCACTTTTCTCTTCTCCTTATATTTTTTTCACTCTTTTCTTCTTCCATCTTTTTTTTATTTTTACTTTCTTTTTTACTTTCCCTTTTATTTTTTTCCTTCTAATCTGTTAGATTTTTCTATTTATTGTCTCTTTTCTACTCTACCTTTTCCTTTGTTTTTTTTTCTTCTCATTCTTTTTTTTCTTTTCCTAGTCTCTTCCATTCCATCTCTTTTTTTCTGAAATTTTCTATAAATCTTTCACTGCTTGCTTTCTAATTTTCTTTATTTAATTTTATCAAGTTTTTTTTCTCCACTTTCTTCATCTTACTCATGTTTTTATTCCTTATGATTCTTTTCTTCTTTTCTCTTCTCTTTTTACTTCTTTTCTCTTCTCTTTTTTCTTCTTTCCTCTTCTCTTTTCTTTTCTCTTCCCTTTTCTTCTTTCTTTTCTCTTATTCTCTTCCTTCTCTTAGTCTTCTTATTTTCTTTTCTTTTTTCTCTTCCCTTTTCTTCTTTCTTCTCTTCTTCTCTTATCTTCTTTTTTCTTTTCCTCTTTTCTCATTCCCTGCCTTATTTATCCTTATCTTCTTTCCTGCTTCTCACACACATTTTTCTTTTCTCTTCTAATTTACAAATTCCTCTTTCAAAATCCAGTCCTTCTCTTCAACAACAACAACCTTTTCAAATTTCTAAGTTATCATTATTTACACAGTTTAGCTTAGCCTAGTGCAAAAACAGTAGTGCGTACCTACTGAGGACTGAACTTGCAAAACTATCAAATCGGCCCAAGATAGGAAATTCTTAAGCATTGCAATATGGTTCTCTACAAGAAATTCATAATTTCCTATATCTGTGTATATATGTGAAAAAATAATACTAAGAAAAAAAATAATTTTAGCATTTGTTAAAATATACATGCATTACAAGAAAATTATTTTTCTTACAAAACAAAAATCCTGCTGACATAATATATTCCAAATGTAGTAATTTAACATTAGAGGAATGAGGATGATGTGACACATACATACACCAAACATTTACATTTTCCTTGGCTTTTCCCAGTTTCCAAAGATATTTTTATGCTAAGCCAATGTAACGCACATGCAAAATTATAGCACACCCACTTAGAAAACAAAACAAACATTTTCTCCTTGACCTTAGCATCTTTTGCAGAGTTGGTTTGAGAACTTAATAAGCTCTTTTTGGGTAAACAAGCCAGAGGGTTCCCTTTGAAATTCATCTATGGGCTTGGCTAAATTAATCCAAATCAATATGTTTCTGAATATTGGTATACGAGTCCAGTAGGATTAGGTTTATTATCAAAATATGGTTAATATTTATTACTAGTAACTTCTAATGTGTTCACAATCTATTTAGCATAATAATTCAGAAATATATTCATTTTATATTTTAAATATTTACTGATTGAATTCATGATATAATTTGGTAAAGCATCTAACTTAATTAAGTAATTTATGGATTAAGAGAATTTTAGAGTATTTAATTTCTAACTTTTTAAAAATGTTGATTAAAATTTCAAGGTATACACATTAGTTTTTATTCTGATTCAAATATTTAAATTATTTCACATAAATATGTCTGTCCCCCTCCAAAATTAGAGCCTTAAAAGTCCCCAGCTGTACAATTTCACATTGTATAAAATGATAAATATTATATTTATATGCTTCAAAAATCTGTAAAATCAAAGTGCTATAATTATTAACAGAAGGACTTTCTATAAGATTTGATTAAAGCTTTACCAACAATCATACATTTTAAAAATGTTAACTTATAGAATTATTTTACTTTGTATTAAAACTGAAATCTAACTTTTAGTTAAATACATAGAAAAAAGTCCTATGAAAACTCCAACCAAATGACTTTTTTCTCACATTTTCTTGCAACTGAACTATAGCGGTATTAAAAGTAAGCTGGTAATTTGGGTTTCTAAGTAAACAAATTTTTGAGTATATTTTTAGTTTTTCTTGAAATTGTATCCATTCTCTCCTTTCTGATATGTTAGACATTTTCTTAAAATATCTCAGATTTTTTTCTAATTTTCATCTTAGGCAAAATGGATGTTTAAGAAAATAAACATGAATAAAAACATATTTAGAATATAAATAAAAAGTTATGTGCTTAATTTTGTGCAGTTCAAAATAAGTTATATATATATATATATAAAGACAATATGAATAAAGTCAAAAGGAAGACTTACCTTAATGTACACATTTGCCTTGATAAAGTTCCTCAGAGGATGAAACACATAGGCTGAGATAATTTTTCCTTTATCTTTATTCACACACACACATATATATATATATATATATATAGTGTATAATGGGTAAATTGCCACCATTTAATATTTTTTATTTGATGCATACACACTGTTTTTGATTTTGTCAATTACATGGTATAATAAAGTCAGTTGGGCACTGTCTTTGAGAGAAAGAGTACCATGGCACAATTCACTCTGCCAGAAATTTAAAAACGCCATGCTGTACTGCTTGTCATTCATGCTGGAAGCTCCAATATGAACATTTTGAAGTGTTTGGCTGTCAATCTGAGGTCAGTACAGAGGATTCAGAAAGAGTTGGATGAGACTAATGGTGATTACAAAGGCGTGGCAGCTCGGAAAACTCACTCTGATCATTCTGATAAGAAAAGAACTACCAAATTTTTTTGGTAAGGGTCTCAGACTCAACATGGAGGCCTATATCAAGGGCCTTGAGGAGGTTGTGCTGCCCTAGGTCAAAAGGGTGGCTGCTGGAAGACCCTATGTCTGGTAACAGGACTTCGTACTATGCCACACAAGTAGGAGAAACCAGTCATGGATGTCAAACAATTTCTGTGATAACATCACCCCCTACATCTGGCCACCTTACCGCTCAGACTGTAACCTCTTTGATTATTATGAGTGAAGTGCAGTTGAAAAAGAGACAAGCAAAACTCCTTGTAACACCAAAGAAGAACTGGAAGCAAGGATTATGGCAGCATTCACCAACTTAAACAAGGAGACTGTCCAGAAGAGTTGCAGGAGATTCTGAAGTTGTCTAGTGGCCATGGTTGAAGCCAAAGGCGATTTTTATTGAATACATTTACTCTTTAGTGTTTCAAGATATTTTTTCTGTAATTTTGGTAAAAATATCTGTTAAAAATGAGATGTCTGTGTTATTTTCATTTTTACCTAATTTAGACAAAAATTTATCCATCGCACACTCTGTGTGTGTGTGTATAAAAATTTCAGAAAGATTATATCTGTAAAAGAACAATACGAATAAAGACAAAAGAAAATTTTATCTTAGCCAACACATTTTATACATACACACATGCATGCATATACACATATATAACATTTACATTGTATAAATTCAGAAATGAAAAAGCATCAGCTAAAACTTTTTCATTTCTGTCTTTATTCATATGCATGCATGCCTGTTAAATTGTATATATGTATGTATATGTATGTATGTGTGTGTGTATATGTATATGCATGTGTATTTGTGTATGTTTGTTTATTTATATATATATATATATATATATATATATATATATATGTGCAGACTCCTTGTGATTTCTGGCTTTTGGTAATACTAAAATTGCCACTGAATGAGAGGCATTTTCAAACTGTATACCAAGATCACGGGGAATACGACATGACAGCTGATGGGGATGCAGCTGTCATGGAAGGGATACTTAAATAACTATGCGATGTTCTAAGTGAAGTATGTTGAAGAGACTAAACCACCATTGCCATAGGTAGGCTACTTTATTCAATAACTGCATCATTTCTGGACAGACAGTATATCCAGTTTAATCAACTTGAATTAATCTAGTCTATCTGAATTTCAGTAATGCAACACTTGTAACTTTGTATCAGCCACAGAGACATCACATTTAAAATTCATGTACTGAGAATCTAAAGGCTAGCAAAGTTATCTGGCTGGTTAATTCTCAAGTATAACAAAGTCCCAATTACTGTGTCCTTGTGCCAAACTAAGTCAAGTAAAAAAAAATAAATGATTTCTACCATTTCCTCTTCATGTCTTCCAAACATTTTTCCTCCTCTTTTTTTCTACGTCAAAATTGTTAGTTGTGACCTTTTTTGACTTTTATTTCTGTTGGTAAAATATCAAATGCTGAAGAAAAGTAAAGACAATGATTTGTAAGAAAAAAAGTTATTTAAATAAAACAATCAAAAAACGTTGCTTAAAATGAAACAAAAAAACCTTTCATCTATTTTGTTATGTTTTATTTGCTTATTTGGATATTTTGTTTCTATTTTACGTAATTTTGTTTATGATTTAATAATGTCTCACTTTGTTTTGCTCATGCATTATCTTTTGTTTCTCTCTCTTGCTTGATGATAATCTGAGAGATTAAGATAAATGTTAATCTTAATCTCTCACATTATCATTGCAAAACTTGGTCAAAATATTGAACTCATTCTTTGTATTGCTTTTGTTGTTAAACATTTTGGCAAATCCATTCATGTATACAAAATCTATAAAGAAAGAAAAGGTCAGTTTTTGTTGTTCTTTTAACAGGTAAAAATTTGATCACCAAAGAAATGACACCTGCTTGTCTCATTATTGACAGTAAATATTTGTTCTATGTATTTTTTTATCTCTTTTTTTGTAGCTCATAATAAAAAAAAGCCCAGCTTAAGGCTAATTTCCAAAAATGCAGAGATGCTTAACCATGGCATTAACTTTGTTTTCAGAAAACAAATTATTTGTTCAAGTTAGCTCGGACATTCACAAATCTTTCATGTCAACCATCACAGACTTGTATCAGGGTCATTACGGTGGCATTCTGTGTCATAACATAGCTGGTCAATGTTGGTGGTTGCTGGGTGGCCAACTCATCTTGCTCCATGGTTAGGTATCCAGAGCAATAGATCAGTTGGAAGTTCTTGTTTTGTTTGCCAGCAGTGTCCTGCAAATTGCATTCTGTGTTCATATAAGATTTTAGAAATATCAGGGATGAGTCCATAGAGCTGTGATTTAGCTGGATATTGTCTCCAGATATTAAGTATCTGAATGAAGGTTCCACCAAGCTTAGACTCAAGGGTTTTAGTTAATGTCCAGGCAGTGGCACCATCTATTAATACCACCTCTACAGTGGCCTGAAAGAATCTCTGCTTGAGGTTCTTCAGCAGATCAGATTTACAGATTACATTCATTTTATTCAAGACAGTGCAAACTTTGGTTATGTGAATTTTCACATCCTTTTCAGAATTTATCTTACTTCTTTGGTATGTAAAATATTCTGCTATTCACCAACAAACTGTAGCGATGAAAAAAAGAAATATGCAAATAAAAATGAAATACAAACATGCAAATTTCTTTGTAATTTTTCTTAAACTTGTCTAATACAATTTCTTATAGTCATTTGATATTTGCCTTTTTTTTTGTTTTTACTGTTAATTTACCTAATACAAGAGCCAAGTGCCATTGGGTTATTGAGTGACATTGTCGTTAGTCTTAAAGAAATCAAGAATGTAGTTGTCAGAGAAACATTCTCTCAAGAGTTTTTTCCACTAAGTAACAGTTCTGGGAGAAGAACCTGTCTGAGTGAAAATTGCTTTTTACCAAAGAGAATGGAGATGATTTACCATTGTAAACATGGCATGGTGGGTCCTTGGCTGTGAAGGTCCGAGCCAGTTGCTTACTCTGATATGGAAAAGTTTTAACATCAGAAAACTTATTCTAAGCAAAATCTTTTTGCTATTGGAAATGTGAGCACTTGGAACCCTTATGTTTATATTACTTATAAGAAGATGATATTTATTTGAAAAACCCTGTCA